ACTATAAGAGGCTTGAACTACTTCAGTTGGTGTGCAATGAATCTAAAATATATGAAAGGTTAATGCTTATCAGTACATTACAGAAAATAATGAACTTTATCACAATGTGCTAATTTTCTGAGAAGGACCTTTATTTGTACTTAATTTCTCGACACCTCTGGAATATTCCTCCTATCACATGACTACCACCTGCTAAAAAACAGCCCCACATCATGAGGTTCCCAACTCCAAACACWCTGGTGTTTTTAGAGAGATTTCTCCTCCAAACATGTAAGCAGTGACATCCAGAGAGTCACTGTAAGAAAGCATCAGAACTACATCTACTCGTTCTTCTCACTGTGGAGCAGCTCTGCTCTGAGCCTCTCCTGGATCACTAAACTCTGATCTCGACGATAGAGGAAAAGATTTCACTGATTATATTTATTTTTACTGATCTGAGCAGAATTACATTTTAAACACTGACAGATTTCAGCTGATGCTGATGCCTTTTTACACCTCATGTTTGCTGTGTCAAACGTATCTGCTCTTTCCACGTTATTATACATCAATTTATAGACWTATGTGTTTGGATTGCTTCATATATAGAGAGAGTACTTCATGTCAATTGTTCYATAACAAATATGTTCACTGTAAACATATTCAAACACTGATGTTGCCTTTGAATCTTGTGGAACAAATAGTTGTACATGTATTTAATWACCACTAGATGGCGGTGTTCAACCATTTGTAGTGGAGAAACTGTACGAGTTGCTTACAACACTTTGATAAACTGATGAATAAAAAACTTTGATATTCTGAAAGAGACAATATAAGAAATCTGGGGGGGGGATGGTTGGGATCAGAGTGTATTTATTTTATTATATTCACTGAAATGCAACAAACAAATGAAAAAAAAAGTTGGTAAACAGAAGTCAGGTTTTATGCCAAACACAACAATGTATTAATTACACCGTCTTTAAAAAAAAAAAAGAATTTAAGTTTTTTTAATCATYCCTGTGGGAGACTGTTAGTTTAAACCTCTCAATGCTATTTAAAAAGAAAAATGAACATTTACCGTTTTGTTACTTCTGTCTGCTGAGAACACCTCAGAATATTTCCTATACAGCGGGTAAAATAAGTATTGAACACGTTACCATTTTTCTCAGTAAATATATTACTAGAGGTGCTAATGACATGAAATTTTCACCAGATGTTGGTAACAACCCAAGTGATCCATACATCACTGGAACCTTCAGAAGTTTAGACATTCTTCTGTAACCGATGCCATCATTATGC